AGCTAAAATGTCCTTGCATTAAAATTTTAATTGAAAATTACCAAAATTATAAATTTCCTAATTTATCTATTGATTTGTAGTTGAGATTGGATCTCACGGTTACTACAAACTAGTCAGTTCTCCCTTGAATGTGCCCATATATATATATATATATATATATATATAGGTTGGTTCAAATACTAACCCATTTTTTTGTGTTAACTATACTAATCAACATCAACCAATCATGTTCCATCTTTTAGTTAGGTTCAAATCTAACTCACATATTAAGTGTAAGGGTATTTAGGTAATTTGTTATTTTTATGTAACTCCCCAATATTTTAATTGGGAGTTACAAATCTTAAAATATCACTAATTGATCTTCATGTAATAATGACATAAAGTTTCACATTTGTTCATCTTACTGATTTTTACATTTCATTCTTCCTACAATGGTTTTGATATTGTAAATTTCAAAAAAGTCCTTTTTGTAAAGATTCCGTTATAGTCCGAGTAATATGGATAATCATAGAGTAAAACAGATCGATGGCAATGAGAATGAAAAAGCTAAAAGCGTCTACGAATACATTCAGAATTCGAATTCCGAAAGTGAAGAAAATGATCAAACCGTTCACGCACATGTTCACTCAAACGTTGACATATGTGTTCACTTGTGCACATATGTGTTCACTTGTGCACATATGTGTTCAATCGGTTCACACAATATGTCCATTTGGTTCACACACATGTTTCAATTGTTCATTAGGTTCACACATTGTTTTGATGAAGATTATGAACCTAATCTTTCAATTGTTCATTAGGTTCACACATTGTTCATTAGGTTCACACACATGTTTCAATCTTATCTAGATGTCGTCACCTGGTAATCCTTCCAAATCCTCTATTGTTTTGATGAAGATTATGAACCTAATTTTTAGCTACTGATTTAAGATATTGATCGATGAGATTGACAGTTTCTTTATTGATTGGAAGTTACAAAATAGACTGACAAAATATGATACGTTAAGATCATTCACTTTTTACAATTCTACCCTCTGAACCATTGTGAACTTAATTTTTTATTAATATGGTAATTAAATAATTAAATTTTTAGTCTCAATAAATGACAACTGTTGGATGTTCAAATCAACGATCAAGATCGGTTAACAAAGTTAACACGATAATCTTGGTTAGTATTTGAACCAGCCCCTCTCTCTCTCTCTCTCTATATATATATATATATGTGTGTGTGTGTGTGTGTGTGTGTGTGACTGGGCTTCGATGAGAAAGGAAGTTATGCTAAGAAAGGTTAAAAGGGATCTCCACTCTTGGACCGATCCTAACTGAAAATCAACACTAATGAGATGTACCAGATCAATTCTCTTCTAAAGCGCAATTCATGAGTGAGCATGAGATTAAAAGTGATCAAATGTGAAGATATCTTCTTACACTTCTCATCTGAATTATTTTTCTCACACCATCGTTTTGTCTATATACACACACACCCCCCATCAAATGCAAACCAACCAAATTTTACAAACCATACAAACCAATTTCAACTGTTCCTCTAGTTTAACAAATATGTGGTTGCATAAATACATCGACTGTTTCGTGATATAAAGCGTTAATCATGATGTATTAACTTTAATCATTTTCTTTAAATATTTAAATCATAATAAATGAACCTTAATCATTTCAATTAACATCTTAATTAATTGGTTTGTATGTTTTATAATCTTTGGATTCAATTTCTCTCTCTCTCTCTCTCTCACACACACACACACACACACACACATATATATATATAGAGAGAGAGAGAGAGAGAGAGAGAATTTATTTCAAATACAACCCATCGCATTTGTACAACTAATGCAACCCAATAAATTGAGATATTTATGAAAATGATGAAAGTTCATTTATTATAATTTGAATATTTATGGAAGATGAATATGGTTCATTAATTATGATCAATACTTTATATTAGGAAACAATCAAAACTTTTAGGAAATAACATATTAATCAAATGAAGTGGACGATTAAGATTGAGTTTTATTGGTTGCACAAATGTCAAAGGTTGTATAATAACCAACTTATATATATATATATATATATATAAAGTTTTTACATAAAATGTTGGAAGTACTCTGTACTCTTGACAACCTAATTTTGTTGCATTGTCTATAATTTATTCAACAACTTAACTTTTTTGTGAGGTCCATTGGCATTATGATTTATAAATAGACAAAACGGTCGCTACTAAAAAAAAATGTCACCGACGGATTATTTTGGCGGAAATTCAGTGACGGATTTGATGGATCTTCGATGGATCCCAAAAAGTCAAAAAAGTTAACTTTTGTTGACTTCCACTACAAGTCCCCCATAAATCCGTCACTGAATTGTTTTAAAAAAATAAAATTTTATTTCGATAACTTACCCGACAGGTCTCCGACGGATTTGTGACGAATATTTTACTTATTTATTATTTTAAAGAACCGTCATAAATCCGTCGAAAATCCTTCACAAAATTGATCTATTTTTTTAAAATAAACTAATTAGTGTTAATTAATTATAGTTTCTGACAGATTTCAATTCTTCATGGTTTTTATTTCAAATAGTAGAATCCTTCAGAAATATTTTATGGAAAATGTTATTTTTTTATTTTTTCTTCCATAAAAATATTTTAAAGTAAATAAATAAAATGATTAACATTTCCGACGGATTTCCGACGGTTTTCATTTATACTTTTTATTGGAAACTTCAACTTTTTATTGTATTTGTATTCAATTAACGACTTAAAGTCCCAAATTCAAGAAATGCGTATTCGATATGAGATTCGATAGAAGGAGGTTGATGAAATTCTCCGCCAAAAAGAGATTCGAAAGAGGGAAGATGACATCCGGAAGAAAAAGTATGCAGACATGATGGATATGGTGAAAAGGTTTACATAATTTTAAAAGTTTCTGCCAACTCTGCCGCATTAGATTTGATATATTGTATTTATGAAATAGTTTCATCAATCGTACTTTAATTTTGTTGAAGAATTTGTATTTGTATATTATTTCATCCGGATAATCATATTAGGTATTTATGACGGATTTGTGGATTGTATATTTGTATTTAATTGACAAGATCTTTATATTTTAGGATTTAAGATTAGCATGTTTTTTGGTTTTTTTTCCCTATAACAGCTACATTCCCGACAGATTTCTGACAAAGAATCCGTCCGTAAATAATCAAATCTAAGCTTTATTATTGAAAATAATTTTTTTGACAGATTGTCCAACGGAATATCCCGTCGGTAAATATTTTCATTTATTAAAAATAAAAAACATTTCATTTTTTAATAAGAAAAAACATTTTTTAAATATAATTACCGACGGAAATCCGTCACAAGTATGAATACATTATGATACAAATTAATATATATATATATATATATATATAATTTTTCATTTTCAAGGATATTCCTATTTTATTTATTTTTAAACAATAAAAACAAAAGCATGAAATGTTTTATATTACCTTTGTACATATGAATAGATAAAGAAAAAAAAATCTAAATTGTCTTAAATATGCTTAATTTTGATGAACAAATTATATAAAAAATTTGATATTCTATTCTTTTTAATTTGATGCGTTATATATTTCTTTTGTAGAAGGGAAAATAAACTGAAAAGAATTTAAACTGTAAATTTTAATTTTTAATTGTAATTTAATTTAGATTTAATAACAAAATAATTTATTTTGGTTTAACAATATGTTTTTTTATAATAATTAAACATTCCGTTAGAACTCAATGATTATCTTAATTATATTTTATATTTTCTATATTTAAAATAAATGTTTATCTTGTATTTGATTATGTTTATCTGTTAATTAGTTATACGGATTTAAAAATGGAACTTTAGTAAGTTGTACTTACGCAAAATTACTTGTAATCTTAAATTTTAAATAATATGTATCAATAAACAATACTTCATGCATAAAAAATGGTTTTTAAGAGTTTTTGTCAAATGCTTTATAATGTAGTATATATATATATATATATATATAAACAATCTTTTTATTATATTCTACAATATATAACTATTATTACATACATACAACTTATTAATACATTTGAACTTTATGAAGTAACTCATAATCAACTGATAAACATATTCAAATGTAGATGATGAATCTGAACTCTATTATTAATCTATACTATATCATAAAATATTTGATAAAAATTCTTAAAACACTTTTTTATACATAAAGTACTGTTTATTGATGTGTATTACTTAAAATTCAAGATTACAAGTAAATTGTGCATAAGTACAACTTATTAAAGTTCTATGTTTGAATTCGTGTAACTAACTGTGGAAGAACGTAATCAAATAGATGATAAATATCTCATTTTAAAATATAAAAAATCTAAAATATAATTAGGATAATTATTGA